TATTCCAAAAAATTCAAGAAGAAGGCACATTTCCAAGTTCTTTCTATGAAGCTAGCATTACCCTAATTCCAAAACCAGATAAAAATACCACAAAGAAAGAGAAACACAGGCCACTATCTTTGATGAATATAGATTCTAAAATCCTCAACAAAATTCTAGCAAATCAGATCCAGTATTACATTAGAAAGATCATACATCATGATCAAGTGGGATTTATTCCAGGTGTGCAAGGATGGTACAAATCAATAAATGTGATACATCACATAAATAAATTGAGAGACAAAAATCACATAATCATATTAATCAATGCAGAAAAAGCATTTGGCAAAATCCAACATCCTCTCTTGATAAAAACTCTCAGCAAAGTGGGAATAGAGGGATCATACTTCAACATAATAAAATCCTTATATGACAAACTACAGCCTATATCATACTTAATGGGCAAAAACTAAAACCATTTTCCCTAAGAACAGGAACAAGACAGGAATGCCCACTTTCACCACTTCCATTCAACAAAGTACTGGAAGTGCTAGCCATCATGATTAGACAAGAAGAAGAAATAAAAGGCATCCAAACTGGAATAGAAGAAGTAAAACTGTCATTATTTGCAGATGACATGATAATATACATAGAAAACCCTAAAGACTCCATCAAAAAACTACTACAAATTATTTTGGCAATGTAGCAGGATACAAAACACCCAGAAATCAATAGCTTTTTTATGCACCAATAATGAACTCACAGAAGAGAAACTAAAACTAAAACAAAAACAAAAACAAAATCCCATTTACCATGTCACCAAAAAATTAAGATACCTAGGAATAAACTTAACTAAGGAGGTAAAAGACCTGTGCTCAGGAAACTACAGGATGTAGAAAAAAATAAAGAGATAGAGGAAGACATAAACAAATGGAAGAACATACCATATTTATGGATTGGAAGAATCAATATCATTAAAATGTCCATACTACCCAAAGCAATTTGTAGATTCAATATAATTCCCATTAAAATACCAATGGTATATTTCACAGACCTAGAACAAACTCTTCAAAAATTCATATGGAATAAAAAAAGAATCCAAATAGCAACAGCAATCCTGAGAAAGAAGAACAAAGTTGAAGGGATCACAATACCAGATATCAAGCTATGTTACAAAGTCACTGTTCTCAGAACTATCTGGTATTGGCACAAGAATAGACCTAGAACAATGGAACCAAAGAATCCAGAAACTGACCCAAGCTATTATGCTCAATTAATATTTGACAAAGGAGGCAAGAGCATACAATGGAGTCAAGACAGTCTCTTCAACAAATCATGTTGGGAAAATTGGTCAGATACATGCAAAAAAATGAAACTAGATTACCAAGTTACTAGTAAACCATACACAAAAATAAACTCAAAATGGATAAAGAACTTAAATGTAAGACAGGAAACCATAAAAATTTTAGAAGATTCCATAGGCAGCAAAATATCAGACATATGTTGTAGCAATATCTTTATAGCTCTTAGAGCATTGGAAACTAAGGAGAAAATAAACAAATGGGACTACATCAAAATAAAAAATGTCTGCACAGAAAAAAACAAAAAAACAACAACAACATAAACAAAACAACAAAAAAGTCCACTGCATGGGAGAACATGTTTGCCAATGTTATCTCAGATAAAGGTTTAATCTCCAAAATTTACAGGGAACTCATACATCTCAACAAAAGGAAAATAAACAATCCAATTAAAAAAAAATAGGCAAAGGACCTAAACTTTTCAAAAGAGGATATATAGAAGGTCAAGAGACTTATGAAAATATGCTCAAAGTCACTAATCATCTGAGAGATGCAAATCAAAACTATAATGAGGTACCATCTCACACCTGTCAGAATAGCTATCATCAACAAATCAACAAACGACAAGTGCTGGTGAGGATATGGAGAAAAATAAACCCTCCTGCACTGGGTGGGAATCCAGACTGGTGTAGCCACTGTGGAAAACAGTATGGAGATTCTTCAAAATATTAAAAATGTTACTCATTTGACTCAGTAATTCTACTTCTGGGAATATATTCCAAGAAACCAGAAATACCAATCAGAAAGGACATATGCATCCCTATGGTCATAGCAGCACAATTTATAATAGCTAAGATTCGAAAACAGCCTAAGTGCCCGTCAGCAGATGAGTGGATTAAAAAAATGTGGTATATCTACACAATGGAATACTATGCTGCTATAAAAAGGAAGGAACTCCTACCATTTGCAATAACATGGATGGAACTAGAGAACATTATGCTAAGAGAAATAAGTCAGTTAGAGAAAGATAAATATCACATGATCTCACTCATATATGGGATATAATGAACATCATATACTGATGAACAAAAACAGATCCAGAGACAAAGAAACACTGAACAGACCGTCCAACCTCAGAGAGAAAGCTGTGGAAAGGGGTGCGGCAAGAGAACAACCAAAGAACTTGTATGTATGAATATTAGCATAACCAATGGAGATGGACAATGGAGTGGTGGGAGCTTGTCTTGAGGGGTAGGAGTGGTGGTGGTTGGGGATTTGATTCCTGTCAAAAGCATATACCTTGGTTGTGGGCACATCTACAGTAGGAGGTGTCCAGGAAGCAGCTGATTAATGTTTCTCTCTCACTGATGTTTCTAACACTCTATCCCTCTCTCTTACTCTCTGTAAAAAAATCAATAATATAAAAAAAATAACAAAATTAAAGCAAAGGTAAAAATAAAATCATCATAATTTCTAATCTAAAAAAATTATCATTAATTTGCTAATTTTTCCCATTATAAAACTGATAAGACCATATTAGCAAATAAGTAAAAAGTAGAAAAAGTAAATTAACTGCCTGTACTGCTAATTTACACATTTATATTAAGAGAGTAATGAGATCATAATACAACCATTCTTATCATTTCAGCATATTTCCTTCCAGTCTTTTTTCTTTTGCTTCTATTTAGCTTTCTTGTCTTACTTTTCTTTTTCTGATCATTTCCTTACTTTCTGCTATTACAAGATGCTTCAGGTTCATCTTGTATTTTTCCTGCTCCAGAATCAATCATTTCTCTAAGATACATTGGTCCGTTGCATTGGAGAATGTGGGCATTGGGTAGTGGCTTTCTTTCACACATTGCTGTAGTCACCGTCATGTATTGGGATAGTGGGCAGTTCCCACCTGGATTCATTGTTAGGTTTAGCCATTTCTGGACCCATCTGGCAAAGTGGTAGAGTAGGCAACCAGGAGTTTGCTAAAGATGAGGTGCCTCCTGAGAAAGAACTCATGCTAAGGAAAGGTGTTAGGCAGACAAATGTGGAAAATTGCACAGTCCTCATCTGAGGGAGAAGTGATTCTGTCTAGGTGTGGTAGTGATGTTTGGATTATCTTTGACTCAACATTCCTCCCATTGCACATTGAATTTGGGTCTGGTATAACAGGTTTTCAGGTGGCTTTTGGCTGGAGTAGAGCAGTTATTGTCTGAATGTGAATACTCATCTTGCTAGGCTTCCCCTGCCCTATTTCTTTGTCTAGAACAGGATTTTCTTTGGGACGTTTTTTTGTCTTTTCCTGTTGGCATTTATAGTGTGGCAACTTACTCAGCATTCAGTCTAGGATATATTAGGCAAAAAGAAAACCCAGGGAACTCACCACTATGTTGTTCCCATAGCCCCTTTCTCCACCTTTCAGAGTCTTCATGTTTGTGTTATTTCTAGAATGCAGAGTTTTTAGTTGCTTTCAGTGGGGGAGAAATAGAGATAAATGGTCTACTCCATTTCAAGTGTTAAATAGACATAAATCATGCATTTTAAATTTATTTTGACTCTGATTTGTAGGTGAGGGTATGGGAACAACAGATATAAAGAACTCTTATGCCGAAACCGGTTTGGCTCAGTAGTAGAGCATCGCTCTGTGGACTGAAAGGTCCCAGGTTCGATTCCGGTCAGGGGCATGTACTTTGGTTGCGGGCACATCCCCAGTAGGGGGTGTGCAAGAGGCAGCTGGTTGATGTTTCTCTCTCATTGACATTTCTAATTCTCTATCTCTCTCCCTTCCTCTCTGTAAAAAAATCAATAAAATATATATTTTTTAAAAAAAGAACTCTTACATTTTATTATTATGTTTTGTTCTACCTGCTTTTTCTAAAGCAACATCTCTGTACTTTAATCTAAATTTCTTCCCCACTTCTTATTGATTTGGAGACCTAAAGCTGGGACACAGTGAGAGATGATTATGAAGGGATCCAACACTAGACTTAGAACTTTTGGCTCTGAGGAACAATTTCAAGTGTTTAATCTATAATGATGGTAATTAAATGATTTGTCCAAAACATATAGTGAGTGTGAGGTGTGGGAGCAGAAGAGTTAGTGGAAGCTGGAACAGGGTGGAACTGAAACCAGACAATCAATGGCTCCCAGCTGCCTGTCACTACTTGAACGCATTAAGAGGAGTCAGGGGTGAACCATCTATGAGCGTTTATTCAAAGAATGCTGGTAGTATGATAGAGCAGCAGGTCATTCACAAAAATCTGCTCTCCCATCCCCTACTAGCTGGCTGATTACATAGGAATAAGGAATAAAGGCTGCATGCAAGGGGAAAGGGAGGGGGTGGCTGCAGGGTCCGTGGTCCCTGTGTCTCCTTCCAGGATATTTAAGGGAATGGTCAGCATTCCTAAGGCAAACTCCCAGAGGACAACAAGGTTCAGGCCCAGCAACCAAATCAAAACTGGCCTGTCCTTTGTCTGTTTTCAAAGTGCATTTTCTTTTCTGAGCAATGGACCCATCGGGGTGCCAAGGTGTTTCTTGTCTCTTTACAGCTCTAGTTTTCTCCTTGTAGCAAATCCTCCAGTTTCCCAGGGTCTGTAAGAAAACTTCTTACCTATAGTTAGGAAGGTGAATACTCATTAAACAATCGTGGCTCTATTCTTATTACGTGCCATTCCCCACTGTCAGAACCTCAGTGTGCAGAGCTGTGTGCCGATAGCTAGCAGAGGGCACAGATCAGTGAAGCAGGGCCATTGCCTGGAGCTCACCTCCACCTCAAAAAGCTTTCTTCAAGTTTGTTGGCTGTAACATTTGAGACAGTACCAAGTGTACCCAGGGAGCCTGCCAGTCATTGGGTGGCTGCCATGACATACTCCACACCTGACACTGTGCAGGGAGGAGCCAGGCAGCCTGTGCCAGATTTTCAGTCGGAGAACATCTGGTTCAGCAGGCAGGGTGTCATCTCTGCAACCAGGAGACAAGGCTCAGCTGATTCTGATCCTTAGCTTGCCAGAGCAGTGACACTCAGCCCCACAGGGAGTGGCAGAACCAGTTGAAGTATGATGCTCAGGAGACATCTCTGCAAAATTCTCTGCATTGGACTGACTCTCACTATTGTCTACAATCTCGTCCTGGTATTTTATACCAAGATGGGTTTACAAAAGTTGATTCTGGGTGGTGTCCAAAAGGAGCCTCACTTGCCTCTGTCTGAAAGGAACAGGATAATGATAAAGAGACTCTCTCAGCTGGAGTTGGAGTTGCAGCATCTGAGTAAGTTTCTAAGTCACTTGGAGGGGATGGTGTGTGTGTGTGTGTGTGTGTGTGTGTGTGTGTGTGAGTGTGTGTGTGTGCGCGCGCACATGCTTATGCACACTTAAAAACTCTTAGGCGAAAGGGGTGTGGAGAATAAAATGAGTAAGAGTTCACGTTTTTATCTCTCAGTTGCTCAATTTAGCATCTGAAATTGAATTCTATGCTTCCAAATGGGCATTAAATGTTGAGAATTAGAGGGAATCTGAGCTGCAGTATGAGAAAACATTAAAACCATTGAAGGATTTTTTTGTGAGTTTATTTGAGCTAACCTGTCAACAATTGCCGGGAAGAAGAATCTCAGCGTATTGAGATAATGCTCTGAAAAACGGTGGCTTTTCACTTTTATAAATTTCATCAAAGGAAGAGATTTGAGATAGAAACATCAATGATGAGAGAGAACTATCGATTGGCTGCCTCCTGCACACCCCCCACTGAGGATTGAGCCCGCAACACAGGCATGTGCCCCTGACCGGAATCAAACCTGGGACCCTTCAGACTGCAGGTCGATGCTCCATCCACTGAGCCAATCTGGCCAGGATTATTTGTTTATTTTTAATTTTAAATATTCTCTACCAACTTAAACTTCTTCCAACCTTTTTCCCTTTTGGTGGATCTCCCCTGTCTTCTATTTTCCATGTCTTCTCTGTTATTAGACTTTAGCTCTTTCTTTTCCTTTGGTTATATTTTCGCCTCTCTTAGGAGCTCTTTTAGAGGGAGGAAGTGGGTAACCACAGTCAAAGCAATTGATTTTTAGAGGAAAGAGAGAACCAGAGATGATGAATCCTAATCCTGTTATAGGTGGGTTACATGAAATCCATTGGTAATAGATTAGGAAAGTGGGAGAAAGCAAAGCAGAGAAACCTCTGGACTGGGTACAAAGGGAAACAATAGACATAGGTGGGTTGGTACCGTACAGTTAACAGTCGACAACCTGATAACAATAACAATTTGTGGTTTCTGCCCTGTTAGTTGTGTTCTGAAGGGTCCAAAAAAAGGGAAGTTACAAGTTACCCGGACATTCCACAGGTATGGTATCTTGGAAGTAAAAGACAATAGGCTCAGAAAGATTGAAGTTGATCTTTGTAGGGGAAGATACTGGCCTAGGACAGGAAGAGCCACTATAAACTGCTTTTTAATTAAAGGTTTTAATTTCAGACCATACTTTGTGGTTACTTTAGGTGTCTTAGTTTGCAAGGCCTCCATGCAGGCCTTCCCTGAGCTAGTCAGTTAGCATGTGGGGCTTTTTCGTGCACATGATGTGAGTGGTGTGTGTGTATGCTGGCACACACTCATGATCACAAGCGCATACATGCAGGCAGGAAAAGGCTCAAACACTCCCAGAGAGGCCCAGGACTCTTCCGCACAGCCCTGCCCTTAGGACTTTGAGTGGCAGGGCTGACAAATGGAGGTAAGAATCCCTGGGGCTAAGGCTGCATTTCCATTTTGCCGTCAGCTGCTGTCAGGGACTCACAGGGGCTTGCTGGAGGACCTGAGGTGGAACCTGATGTGACATGCTGATTGAGTGGCCTGAAGCCAGCATTTCTCTCCCAGTGAGGCTCCTGGCCTATGAGGAGAGATGATGAGACCGTACCTGCCAGCGTCCCATGGTTGTGAAATCCATGCAGTGTCACATACTAACCTCTTTCTTTTATTGAGGAATAATTGTTCTTTAGCATTATGTTAGTTTTAGGTGTACAGTGTAATGGTTCAATTCTTGTACTAACTGTGACTGATCATACCCGCCACCACCCATAATGGCATTTTTTTTTCTGTGATGAGAGATCCTCTAAGGTCTACTCGTTTAGCAACTTCAAGTACACAGTGTAGTGCTATTGACTGTAGTCACCATGCTGTATGTTAGAAGACATCTCAGGTCTTACTTATTTTATAAATGGAAGTTTGTACCTTTTCACCCCTTTCACAACATACCACCTCTCTTCTCCCCACAACCTCTGGCAACCATCCGTCTGTTCTCTGTAACTATGAGCTTGTTTCCTCCACTTTTAGATTGACATATATGTGAAATTAAATGGTATTTGTCTTTCTCTTTCTTACTTATTTCACTTAACCTAATGCGCATAAGGTCTACCACATTTTAAGTTCTTCACATGAAATCTGGGGCTTGCTTTTGATTCTGACTCTAACCCCTATAAATTTTATGTGTCTCAGCATCTGACTCCAGTAAGAGAGGCAGGCATGTTTACCTCAATCCCTGTCATTGCAGAGGTCAAATGCTTGCGCCCCTGAAGGGAGGTTGAATGTATGAGCAGGGAAATGGCTGCAGAGATGCGTGGTTGTGTGCATGTGGGGGCTGGCGGTGAAGAAAGTGTCTTTTAATATAAAAACTGAACATTGCCCAGGTTCAGGGCGAGGCAGAGGGATAGATGGAAGGAAAGAGGAAGGATAAAAAGTAAAGGACTGAATCAGGAAAAGAGAGAGAGAAAAAGAGGGCAATAGAGGATTAAAGAGATGAGGACAAAAAAGGAGCAAAGAGCAAAAGTCTATGTCAGTGGTTCTCAACCTTCCTAATGCCGCGACCCTTTTTAATACAGTTCCTCATGTTGTGGTGACCCCTAACCATAAAATTATTTTTGTTGCTACTTCATAACTGTAATTTTGCTACTGTTATGAATCATAATGTAAATATCTGTGTTTTCCGATTGTCTTAGGCAACCCTGCTAGCAGTTCTCAACCTGTGGGTCATGACAGATATTTACATTACGATTTATAATAGTAGCAAAATTACAGTTATGAAGTAGCAACGAAAATTTTTTATGGCTGGGGGTCACCCCAACATGAGGAACTGTATTAAAGGGTCTCGGCATTAGAAAGGTTGAGAACCACTGGCCAAGAGCAAGGGAATAAAAGAATGTACAGTAGGTCCTTGGTTAACGTCAGAGATCCGTTCCTACAGCGCAACGTACCGTATTTTTCGGACCATAAGACGCTCCGGACCATAAGACGCACCAGTTTTTAGAGAAGGGAAATGAAGAAAAAAAGATTCTGAAACAAATAGTGTCCTAAAATATTTTATGTGCATTAAAACCCAACATCACAGTCATAAACACATGTAATCAACCCTGTAAAGTAAACAGCAGCATTTAGAACCATTTTAGAGCCAGGCAAGCACACAGAGACCACACAGAGCCGGGCAAGTAAAAAAACTTTTTTTTTAAAGTATATGTGTAGGCTAAATTTGGACCATAAGACGCAGGGACTTTTTCCCCCCACTTCTGGGGGGGAAAAAAGTGCGTCTTATGGTCCGAAAAATACGGTAATGTGTTTTCACCAAAGTCGGAACCCACCTACATAAGCACCTGCGCCACTCACATGGAGCACATACACAGCAGTAATGAAGTGAAACAGTAAAAAAGATTTAAAAGAAAGATAATTCCTGACCTTTACTTGTGGTAAATAAATAATAAAAACATAAAGCACCTATGTACATACGTTGAAATGACGGAACTTTTAAAAAATATAAATAGCCGAAACCGGTTTGGCTCAGTGGATAGAGCATTGGCCTGTGGACCGAAGGGTCCCAGGTTCGATTCTGGTCAAGGGCATGTACCTGGATTGTGGGCACATCCCCAGTAGGGAGTGTGCAAGAGGCAGCTGATCGATGTTTCTCTCTCATCGATGTTTCTAGCTCTCTATCCCTCTCTCTTCCTCTCAGTAAAAAATCGATAAAATATTTAATATATATATATATATGGTGACGTAACCACGAAATGACGAGTCTGATATAACCCGAGGACTATCTGGTATGCGGAGACAAGACAGAAAAGAAGAAAATGATGTGGATGGGCATAGAAAAAAAGAATCATTAAGCACCATAGCACCTTCTACATCTTCCCTGATAAGACTCTTCATATTTTATTGTGGTATAATTTTCTGGAAGGCATGTTTCATAGGCACTAGTTTCAGGGATGTCGCATAGAGTATCTTACCACTTAATCCCCTGTGTCTGGCACATAGAAATTAAATGGGTGAGTAAATGAATGAATGAATATTGGAAAAAGAGGACAGAGGACAGGCAGTCAGGGAGAGAGGGCAGAGTGATACCCGGTAAGAGAGTAATGAAACAGATAAGATTGTCACTCTTGGAAGCCCTGGCTTTTGAGCACATTCCACTGGGGTGGACATTGACTTGCAAATATGCTCAGTGTGGCGTCACCAAGAGGATGCCTACGTACCTGGGCAATCACTGTCATTCCTTGATAGCATACTCAGACCACACCACCACTCGCTCACCCAACCCCAGGGCTCAGCCACCTCGGGCCTTAAAGTGGCAGGAGTTCTGTAACCAGACAATCAGTGGGCCTGTGCTGCTGATCACTATCTGAGCCAATTCAGCAGAGACAGGTTGACTTATATAAGAGCGTTTATTCAATACTGCTGGCATCATGGGAAAGCAGCAACTCATCCATAAAACTCTGCTCTGCACCCCACCATAAGCCAGTTGCTTATATTGGGTAGAAGGATAACTATCACATGGGGAAATAGGCAAAGGGTTTGCCAAATGGGCAGTTAACAGATATAAGCAGGCTGGAAATTTGCAAAAGCCCACAGGTATGCAAAAGGCTGGGGATCTTCAAAGTGCTTAGTGACATGCAAGGGTGGGGGGTCTTCAAAGAGCTGGTGATTCTGGTTCCTACCAGAAAGTTGTTAATGTTTGCATGATAATAGGCAGCTCCAAATGAGGAGGATGGGCTGCATTTGCAGGTGAGTTCCCAGGTCCAGAGTGCCACAGCCTGCCAGGTTAGAATGTGCCTTCTTTAATCAGAATAAAACAACCACAGTTAACGGAGCATGATTACTGTTTCTCATAGTTCTAGCTGGTTCCCCAACATTCTGTTTCTGCCCATATCAGTTCTGCCTGCAGCTGGAACACATTATGCCTCCACCAGTCATCTGGAGCCACCAGTGTGCTTCCCTTTTCCTCTGCAATGACCAGCTCCTCCTTTCCTCATTATTATTTTTAAAAATATATATTTTATTGATTTTTTTTTACAGAGAGGAAGGGAGAGGGATAGAGAATTAGAAACATCGATGAGAGAGAAACATTAAGCAGTTGCCTCCTGCACAGCCCCCATTGGGGATGTGCCCGAAACCAAAGTACATGCCTTTGACTGGAATCGAACCTTGGATCCCTCAGTCTGCAGGCCAACACTCTATCCACTGAGCCATACCGGTTCTGGCTCCTCATTATTTTTGATGTGTTATGCCCAGACTTCGTGATCCCCAAGGACCACCAGGGAGCCGAGTCCGATGCAATAAATAAAAGAGCCTGTACCATGCTAGCAATGGGCTCCTCCCACTCATGCCGGCAGCATGGCGGAAGAGAGCGAATTTCTCCCAGTCCAGGAGTTTTGAGGGCTAGGGATAACTCCGCCCTACGGGGCGGAGTTGGGAGCTCATCCTCGCCCCGCCCTGCCCTTTCAGATGCTCCCCACATTTTATTCACTTTAGAATGATGTGGTGTCAGGCACGCCCTACCAGCTGAGGTGAATTTCAAAATGTCTTCTGGACCCTGTTTCCAGATCACAAAGGCCCTTTTTCTGATAGGGCTTCCTGAAATGAAGTCTGTACAGTTATGCAGCATCCTGGTTGCTCATTGTCTCTAGGAAGTCCAGAGGATATCATATATCAATATTTAGACATGAATGTAAGCTGTCATACAGAACAAAAGCAAACACATAATGATAATGAAATCCCTGTAGCAGAGGGTTTGATGACTCTGAACGAATTTTTTGGAACCTGCCCAGGGCGTCTTTAAGGCTTCTGCAGAATGGTGACATTGGGTGGGGCCCTTTGGATCCTGGAAAGTTTCTGTATGAAATGAATGGTCTAATGGCACTGTATTCATCCTGTGGACTCTGCACTTACTCAAATTGACTCTAGGGTGTCCCAGTCCAAACAATCTCCCAATTGGCAGCAATGAATAAGAGAGGAAAATCCCCAAAGAGGAACACAGGAGTTTAAAGGAACAGAGAACTCAAAGCTACCCTGTGACACATGTCTCCCCCCGGCCCCCAATGCTTAGTACAGAAGATTTTGAATAAAAATACCATTTAATTTGGAATATTATAAAATTTCTGCTCTCAGTTTGATTGTCTACCTGAGCAAATATGCAGGGTATTCCCATGAGCTTTCTTTGAAAGACACTCCATTTATATTTATTTGTTCTTTCTGAGTTTTCTTTGACCCATTTTATTTATTTAGCCTTAAGCACTTCTGTAATTGATTCTCTTTCTTCTTAGGCCTGGTTTTGCTACCTTCCAAACACATCCTCCTCCCACTTGCGGACTTTCCTGCTTCCCTTAAATTCAGCTCACAAAGCCATGTGCTGTGCCTGGGGCTGTATCTGCCCAGAGGCAGTTTACACAGGGAGATGTGTCCTGGTGAAACTGGTAATCCCTGGGCTGAAACTGTTAAAAAAAAAAAGGGGGGGGGTAGGGGAGGGATGGTGGTGATTCTTTCAACTTGCAAAAAAAATATACTACATGGGCTAGAGGTAATCCTATCAATTTGGCAGGATTGCAGTATAGGTTTAAGGGAAGATTAGTGGGAGCTAAGTGGGTCCCCAAGGTGGAGTATCTTGGTGACCACTTTGGGACCTGATGCTGAGGAGTGTCATTGTCAATGTTGAACTTGGGAACAATTGATGGGCTCTAGGTTTGGTCTGATCTCAGAAAGGAGAGAGTCAGACAGCTATGATGATGGCGCTTTACCTTGTTATGTAAACCTGGCTGCCCTCTAGCATTTCTTCCGTTGACCTCCCTGACAAGTTTCCTCACTCAGTACAGACTTTGCCATGGCTCCTGGTTCAGTCTTTGGCTCTGCCCCAAATCCTGCTGTCATTCTGGGCCACTGCAATGTCCTGTGGATGACCCATTCAACAGCCCTGCTTTCCCATCCAGGTAGTCCATTACCTCCATTCCACCTTCCCATACTTCTACGCTGTATGTTGAACTTTGTCATCATCCAGACCTGTTCACCTGTGAAATGACAAATTCAAGCTGTCCTTTGCTGATCACAAGTTCATGATTGCAGCATATTCCCTCAGTTGTTCTCTGTAACAGTACCATTTCTTCAGCTTTTCTTTGCCACGATCCACAACTCCGTTGCACACTTGTTCTATTGCACCCTCCTAAGGGTCCCCCCTCTTCCCCCGCTACATCATGTGAAATCAATTGTCTGTCTTCGCTGTGCCTTCACCCAAGGGCTGAACAACTGCTGGAAAAATTTCCATACCTGAGCCACTTCACACTCACGGCCCTGCCTCAGCCAGCCCTCTACTAGGCCCTCAGTACTCTGTTTTACGATTAAAATCTTACTTCCATTTCTTAGCATAACAATTTTAAAAGTTTTCCACTCTTCTCAATATCCTTCCTCACCTCTCCCCCACCACTAAGGAGAGGAAATATAGAAACCAGAGAAAAGAGAAAATAGCCAAACTTTATTGTGTGCCAGGCTCTGTCATAAGCACTTCACAGGCAGTAAGCCACATAGTTATCACTGCAATGCTCTGAGGTACTTGGTAAATCTATGGCACCAAGAAGAGAAAGACCCTGGCCAAGGTCACCCAGCTAGGAAAGAGTAGTCACTGATAGTGTAGTGCAGTGTTTCTCACATTTTATTGTATAAAAGAATTATTCATTGATTTGTTAAAAGTGCTGATTCTGGCTCTAGCAGGTTTGGCTCAGTGGATAGAGTGTCAGCCTGCAGACTGAAGGGTCCCACGTTCTATTCCGGTCAAGGGCACGTACCTTGGAGCCTACAGCTCCCCTCTGACCAGGGTCCTGGTCAGGGCTTATGCAGAAGGCAACCTATTGTTGTGTTCTCTCACACCGATATTTCTCTCTGTCTTTCCCTCTCTCTTCCACTCTTTCTAAAATCAATGGAAATATGAGGATTGGGGGAAAGAAAGTGCTGATTCTGGCATCTTTCCCTATCCCTGTCTGACCTGAGATTCTGATTTAGTTGATTTAGGGGATAAGCCTGTAGATCTGCATTTAAAAATAATCCAACAGATGATTCTGATGTAAATGGTTCTCAGGTCTTATTCTGAAAAAGGTTCTCTATGGTCGATATATTTCTCAGATGACAGTTCCTGGAGGAACTGCGAAGGCTTGGGACTTTGGATAGAGAAGTTCTGACAGAGCTCAAAGAAGAGGTGTGTTTCAGTGCATGCCTCGCCAGGACAGCTTGGCACTGCTCTGACAAATTCCTTGACATATCGTATCCTCTAGGACAAGAGCTGGTCAATTTCAGAATTTGGAAAGGAAAACATTGTGGTGAAATTTGAATGCAAAGCAGTGCCCAGGTAGCTAAGGATTGGCTGAAATGTTTTCTCCCCTGCCCTTCATTTGCAGAAGAAAGTATGAAATTGTCTAAGAGGCAACAAGAAAATGTGGACAAGGCAGTGGAAGCCAAGGCAAGCGAGACACAGAAACACAGACCCAGAGAGAAACTCTTCCCAAACTCAGCGCTTTTCAAGCAGTGGGGTGATGATCTCTCTGAGGCCCAGCAGAAAAGGGCTGAGAACCTCTTCCAAAAGTTTGGTTACAATGTTTACCTCAGTAACCTGCTGCCCCTGAACCGGTCCATCCCAGACACAAGGCATTCCAGGTAGGATGTTTGGCTTCCTAGGAACCTCACTTTAATTTGGGGATGAACTTTGGGAAAGTGAAAAGTCAAGGATTGAAAAGAAGGTTGGAGGAGTGAAAAGTTGGTGGGGAAGGTTTCAGGGAATAGAAAGTTCTAGCAGGTTGCCTGAGCAAACTTCTTATTGTTTTTAATTTATTTTTCAATTATAGTTTACATTAGATATTATTTTGTACTAGAGGCCTGGTGCACAAAATTCGTGCATGGGAGGTTGTCTCTCAGCTTGTCCTATACTCTATCCAATCTGGAACCCCTAGGGGGATGTCCAACTACCAGTGGGATCAGGCCTAAACCGGCAATCGGACATCCCTCTCGCAATCTGGGACCGCTGGCTCCTAACCACTCCCCTGCCTGCCTGCCTGCCTGATCAGCCCTATCCCCTCTCCCTTCCAGCCTGATGCCCCTAGCTGCTCCCCTGCCAACCCAATCACCCCCTAACTGCCCTCTCCTGTTGATTCAATCGCCCCTAACTACCCTCCCCTCCCTCTAAACTGCCTCTGTCTTGGCCCTCACCACTGTGACTTTGTCCAGAAGAACATCCGGTCTAATTAGCATATTACCCTTTTATTAGTATAGATTAGTTTTAGGTATACAATATTTACTAGTATAGATTAGTTTCAGGTAGTTACAATTTGTAACTACCAATTTGTACTTAACCCTTTAATCTTTTTCTCCTAGTCTTGCTAACACTCTCCCTTCTGGAAACCAGCATTCTATTCCCTGAATCTATAAGTTTATTACTGTTTTGCTTGTTTACTTATCTTGTTTTATAGATTCCACATCTAAGTGAAATCATATGGGATTTGTTTTTCTCTGACTGACTTATTTCACTTATCATAATATTCTCTAGGTCCATCTTTGCTGTCACAAATGGTAAGATTTAATTATTGATTATGGCCAAATAACATACCATGATCTCTGAACACATAATAATCTGGCCACTCAGTGTATATCCTATATAATAAAAGACTGATATGCAAATTGTCCCTTTGACCAGGAGTTCGACCAGCAGCCTGGCCAATCACCCATGTCTCCTCCCTCTGACCAGGCTGGCTGGACCCAGCCCATGCACAAATTCATGCACCAGGCCTCATCTTACCTAATAATAGACAAACATGTAAATTGACCATACCTTTGCTACTCCTATAGCCAATCAGAATGACTATGCAAATTAACCCAAAATTGTGGTTAATTTGCATACAATGGCACCCAGGGCCTATGTCCCAGGAACATTCTGGCACCCAGGTCACTGTGAGGTAAGGCCTAGGCAGAAGTGGACCCCCTGTGATCGATCTCAGGGAGCTGGGGGTCCGCTTCTGCTCAAGAGGCTTTTGGCCCATGCAGGCCTGGGCAGAGACGGAGCCAGTGATCAGAGGGAGCTGGAGGGGCCCTGTCCAGGCCTAAAGCTTCTACCAGAGGTTTTAGGTCTGGGCAGGACCCAGCCTCAAATGATGTGAACTATAGAGGAAACACCTTTTCTGATTGCTCATTGGCTAAGCTCCCTGTACGCCACTGGTAATATTCTTAGTAACTTGTGTATAAGAATCCAAAAAGGTGATGTAGGGTTTTTCCACCACACTTCTGGAGAAAAAAATGAAGGTCCACGGCTGGAGGGCTAAGAAATGTCATATCCTGCCCTAGCCAGTTTGACTCAGTGGATAATGCCTCAGCCTGCAGATAGCAGGGTCTGGGTTTGATTCTGATCAAGAGCATGCACCTAGGTTAAGGTTCCTCCCTGGCCAGGGCCCAAATCAGGGCTTGGGCAGGAGGCAGCCAATCAAAGTGTCCCTCTCACTTTGATGTTTCTGTCTTTTCCTTTCTCTTCCATATTCTCTAAAAGTCAATAGAAACATATCCTCAGGTGAGAATAAAAGAAATAAGGAAGAAATGCATATCCTATAAAAGACACATCTTGAAAATGCCTAAAGAAAGTTGTCATTTTTTCTTGGTGAAGGGACTGGAGTCCATGTTGATGAAAATACCTTGGTGGCTGTGGTGACTGGCAGTGGCTGCAGAAGCAGGGTAATGGGGCTCGTGCCTTCCCATGATTAGCCCATGATACAGTTGCCTCCCGCAAAGTTGTCTCCCCTGCAGCTTAGGCCCACTCCCACATCCCTGAGGACTCCCAGTATGTGAAAGAAGGCAAGTTGGGCTGAGATAATCCCACCCCCAGTACACGAATTTTGTGCACTGGGCCCCTAGTATGTGTACACACACACACACACACACACACACACACACACACACACACACACAAAATGGGTGGCCAGATTATTATGCATTCAGAAATCATAGTAATCTGGCCACATATATACTCAGTGTATACTAAAGGCCCAGTGCATGAATTTGTGCACAGGTGGGGTCTGGCTGGTCTGCACCAATGGGGGCCAATCGAACTGGGCCATCAGGGAAGAGGGAATGGGAGAGGTTGGCCAACGGCCCCACCCTCAATGGGGGGGGGTCACTGGGGGACAGGGCCAGCCAGAAGAGGGACCATAGCCAGCCAAAGGGAGAGGCCACAGGCAGTTGGCTGGCCAGCCCCACCCTCAATCAGGGTGGTGGGGACCGATCAGGGTGGGCCTGCCATGGAGAGGGGCCACCAGTGGTTGGCTGGCTGGACCTGCCCCCAATCAGGGTGGGGGGGGCAATTGGGGGCTGGGCCGGCCAAGGGTGGGGCCGTGGAAAGTTGGTAAGCTAGTCCTATCCCGAGTCCAGCCAGGGCTGGCCTGGAGGAGGGGCCGAACCCCAACTGGGCTAGTTGGCTGGCTGCAGTGTGCATCATAGCAACTGGTCATTCCAGTCATTTGTATTGTTCTGGTTGCTTAGCATTTATATATATACTAGAGGCCCAGTACATGAAATTTGTGCATTGCGGGGAGGGGGGTGCCCCTAGACCAGTCTGCATCCTCTCCAATTTGGGACCCCTCACGGGATGTCTAACTTCCAGAAGTTGGACATCCCTCTCACAATCTGGGACTGCTGGCTCCTAACCACTTACCTGTCTGCCTGCCTGATTGCCCCCAACTGCCTCTGCCTGCCTGCTTGATTGCCCCTAACCCCTCTGCCTGCCTGATCGCTCCTAACCTCTCTTCCTGCCTACTTGATTGCCCCTAATGCCCTTCCCTTGCTGGCCAGATCTTGCCCCCAACTGCTCTCCTCTGCTGGCCTGATTATCCCTAACTGCCTCAGCCTGCCTGATTGCCCCAAACTGCCCTCTCTTGCTAGCCTGATCTTGTCCCTAACTGCCCTCCCCTGCAGGCCTGATCTCACCCCCAGCTGCCCTCCCCTGTTGGCCTGATCTTTCCCCCAACTGCCCTCCCCTGCCAGCCTGATCTCACCCCCATCTGCCCTCCCCTGCTGGCCTGATTGTCCCTAATGGCCTCTGCTTCAGCTCTCACCATCATGTCTTTGTCCTCAAGGAAGTCTGCTATCCAGAAGATGGCCCGTTGACCCGGTATAATTAGCATATTACCCTTTTAGTAGTATAGATAGATTATATAGGATGGGGGTGGCGGGAGCCTTTTTCATCAAGAGGAGATGCTCTTGGCAGACAAAAATACATAATCCCTATATCTGGACTGATAGCCAGTCAAATGCACTATACTGCCAAACTGGTCATTAAAAAATTGAACCACTTTCTTAAACCTTACACCAAACAGCTGTTGCCCTTAAAACCCCTCCTCAGGCCCCTCCTTAGGTTCTTCCTTTGCAGTTCACTCAGATTAGGTTCTGATTAGTGGGTTTTTATGTCAGTCAGCATTAAAAGCTCCACCTTCTTGGCACCCATTGGCTCCTCACACTTCACCCAGATTTGATTCTAGTTGATTGGTTTCTATGCCAGTTAGTGTCAAAAGCTCTGCCTCTTAGGCAGCTATTGGCTCCTTGTAGTTTACCAGATTTGGTTCTGATTGGTTGGTATCTATGCCAATCACTGTCTCTGGGCCTATCAAAGGGCCTGATTAGAGAGGCAGGTCTGATCAGCAGCCCCAGCAGAGGTCTGAGAGAAAGAGAAGTGTGGCTTCTGGCCTAGTCTGAAGTGAGAGAGAGAGGCAAGTGCTGATCAATAGCTGCCACAGAGGCAACAGATCAGGTCCTGCTTTTTTTCTCTCCAGGCCTCTCTTTGGGCTTGATTCGCATCCCCCTCAGCACTCAGTTCTGGCTTCTCCATGGCAACCTAGCACTGACTTCCAGTTGGTCAAGCCTTTGGTTGTTTTGGATGTTATACACTATGGGTTTTTATATATTTGGATACCACCTTTTTTATTCATTTGTCTCTTATTGGGCAGTTGGGTTGCTTCCATATCTTGGCTATTCTAAGTAACAGTACAATGAACATAGGAGTGTATATATTCTTTCAAATAGGTGTTTTAAATTTCTTTGGATATATACACAGAAGTGGAATCACTGGGTCATAAGACATTCCATTTTTAACATTTTTGAGAACCCTCCATATTGTCTTCCATAGTGCTGTACCAATTTGTATTCCCACGAACAGCGAAGGAGGGGTCCCTTTTCTCCACATCCTCGCCAACACTTGTTTATTGATTTATTGATGACAGCCATTCTGACAGGTGTTAGGTGATATCTCATTATAGTTTGTTTAATTATTTGTATATTTTTTTTTCAACTATGGTATACATTGAATACCATTCTGAACCAGTTTCAGATATTCAGCAAAATGGGTAAAAAAATTCATTCTTCATTATGGTTTTAATTTTCATTTCTCTGATGATTAATAACACTGACCATCTATTCATATGACTATTGGCCATTTGTGTGTTCTCTTTGGAGAAGCATCTATCCAGGTCCTTTGCCCATTTTTAAATTTGAATTTTTTGTTTTTTGTTGTGTTGAGTTGAATGAGTTCTTCATAAGTTTTGGATATTAACCTCTTAACAGATATATCATTGGTGAATATGTTCTCCCATTCAGTTGGTTGTCTTTTTGTTTTGTTGATGGTTTCC